AGGCTCTGAGGAGGAAGGCCGGAGCTCTGAGCTGTGGTTCTGGGCAGCTGCTGCTCCCAGGCAGGGCCCTGCGGGGTGGGCGGGGAGGCAGCCGCTGCAGCAGTGGTGTTGGGTTACAGGTGCGGGGCACGGGTAACTGGCTCATCCAGTAACTGGCTTTATAATTACATCGCTGATTTGTTAGGGAAGGTTTTGTCTTACTTACCAATTAGCATGGATGTTACTGTGGGGACCTCCAAAACCCTGGATAAGCTTTGGGTTTAAAAGAAAAGAGCTTTCCAACCCCAGGCAGCGTCAGGGGTTAGCAGCCCTGGCCAACTTGTGGGAACCCTGACACTGCCTGCATGAGCTGAGGCTGTTTCAAAGGTGGTAGCTTGGCCCCTGTTGCTGACACTGCCTCTGGGCCATAGACTGTCGTAGCCGCACGCCCTCCTGTAGGGTGCACAGCCAGGACCCTGCTGCTTCTAATAGCTTCCTGCTCTGGTCCTGCCAGGTGGCCTTTGTGTGGTGGTGTTCCTCCATGTGTTGGCGGGGAAGGGCGCTGACCGCGTTTAGATGTGATCACATTGCGCAGTCCTGTGTGTCTGTGAAGGTGGAGAAAGTTATCTGAGCCAGCATGCCCTGCTCCCCCGCCCCCCCTCCAGTGGAAGTAGGCTGGGCCTGGAGCTTCCTTCCTGCCCGAAAGCTGCCGTGTGCCCAGTGACAGGGCTGGAGGAATGCCGAGCTGCAGGGTTACAGATGAGCCCTTCCCAGAGGGCGGCTCCTGGCTGGTGGGAGGCATCCTTTTGTTCCGAGCTGCCTCTCCCTCCTCCCCCCCTCACCACCTCCCCCCACACGGCTCAAGGCCAGTGGATGGAATGAGAGAGAGGAGAATGTTCTGTTTCCCCAAGTTGTCCCTGGGCCATGTGTGGCCCAGCCTTGAGCCCGACTGGAGCCCATTTCTCTCACACACGCGACCTTGTGCCGGGGTGCTGGTGGCACGGCGAGGAAATGGCCCCTGCCGGCCTCTGTGGGCTGCCTGGCCACGACCTCCACTTTGCTGCCTTTCCTTTCCAAAGAGGGGCTGGAGGAAGGACAGACAGACCCCTGGATCGCTGATGCCAACAGAGAAGTCCCTGTTGATGGTCCTCAGGGTCCGGAATGGCCGCTGCGGGGCTTTTGTGTTGATGTGGTAAGAGCAGCCACACAGCCGGATAACTGCTGTGGACTGCTGCGCCGACTTGTATTAATGCTTGTTTTCACTGAAGAACAGTGTGTGGCATCTGAAGTCTACAAGCCAGGGATTTGTCACACGCGTTAGTGTGTTCCCCACCCACCCAGGTGAGGGACCGAAGCAAACCGCACGTGTGCCGGGAACCAGCCGTCGCTTTGCTGTGCAACTGACTCTAAGCAATGTTTTGCTTCATCGTGAAGCCTGCTGTGGTCCTGAAAGGGGAGAGCACTGAATTTCTAGTTAATGCTGTTACTCGGAAAGGAAGTGGAATCAAGCTATTGATGATGCACATAGGGTATGCGTCAGTTGGGCCTTGAGGCCTTTCTGGAGGCCCTCTCCCCTCTGACCGTGTCCACAAGCATCCCAGCACACGGCCTGTGTGAGCGTGGCCGGCTGGCTGCACGTTGCCTGATGGCGTTCTCAGTCATCGCCTCCCCAGTCTTTTCCTCTTTTCGGACACTGAAACTAAGCTATCAATTCTGAACCTCTTCTTAGAGGTCTTTGCAGCCTGTATTCTGTCTCAGGATGTTGACAGGCGATTTTCCTGCTGTCTTGGGTCAGGACTGTCACTAATGAGGGATGTAAGGCAGGCTTTCATGACTGACTTGGAGTTCTGATGGTCTGTCAAGGGCTTCCCTGCAGGCCTCCCACAGTCCGCTTGCAGGCCCTGCCCAAGCTCTTACCTGGAGACTGGGTTGGGTTACAGCAGTGAGGAACTGGGGACTTCAAGTGACAACATGTTACAAATTTGTGAAAACAAATTTACATGTGACATGTTTATGGTTCATTTTGACAATTCAGGTAGCAGTAAGAAAGTTAAGAGAAAGTAATCTTTAAAGTTGAAAAGTAGTTACATGTTTTTCAGTTCACTTTGAGTGGCTTTTCCTCCTGAATTTTTTGTTTGTTTGAGCCAGGAAAACAAACTTCCCTCCCCCCGGGGGACTTGCAGGTACCCTGAGCTCTGCCGTGAAGCAGCTCCAGTCCAGTCTCCCACAGAATCCCTTGGGCTGCTTAACCTCCAGTCTCAATGTTCACTCCTGCATTTTTTCCTTGATTCCTGGAATGTTATCATTTTAAACTTCGGTGCTGTGTCAGTTCCTTTTTGGGCCGTGGGCAATAAGACCTCAGAATATTCACAGAAAGGGTTGGGTTGTGCTACAGATCTGGTGTATCAGTCACAAGCCGAGTTCTCATTGAAACTGAACTACGATGCTTTAATTCTGCACAGTACTTAATTTAAATATCAGTTCTCAGTGGCCATCACAAAAAATGCTCTTGGTTCCTTTTTGCCCAAATTTAAGAAATGGAGAGCAGTGACCCAGTCCTGATGAACCAAAGCAAGACATTCTTGGACTCCAAGGTGAGGTGGACAGAGGACAGAGGACTACAGCATGGTCTGCAGAGCAGCATCACCTGAGAACCAGTTGCCAGGGCAAGGTGGTGGGGCCTGGCAGGGAATGTTACACTGTGCAGGTGTGTCTGCTGCTTGCTGTCATGGGAGGAAAAGGAAAGGACAGTGCCCGGCAGGAAAATGCAGCCTGCCCTCCCACCTGCCCACCTGTCTGCACCGGGGCTCTGGACGGTGCTCCCCTTCCACAGCCCTTCCCTTCAATTCCCAGAAGGGAGGCTGTTGGGTCTCAAACCTGGAGAGCCAGTGCGTTTTCAGTAGACAGGGGCTGTGGGGGCCTTGTCTGGAAAGCTGGACCCAAAGCCAGGGGTTGTGGACTTGGGTCTTTCAAGTCCAGAGAGGAGAGGAGGAGCTGTCAGCCCCAGGGTGGTCCACTAGCCCCTCCTCTGAGTGCATGGCAGGCCCACAAGGGGGGCCCCCTTCCCCTGTGTTCCCCAGAAGCCCTTAATGAGCTCCTGCTACTGCTCCGTCTTGGGGCTGCATCCTGGTGAGGCTTCAGATAGGTCACGTGCTGTTCCTGCACTTAAAGAGCCATTGTTACTTCCTCAGAATGCCCGAGGGAAAAGAGGCTGCTTCGGACTTGGCCAGCCCCAGCCAGGAGCAGCACAGAGGCAGTCTGGCTTCTTGCCCTCTGGTTCTTAAGGGCATGTCTGGTCTTTTCTTCCTTCAATTATGATACAAAGCCCTGAGAGTGAGAGTGTCCCCCCACGCTCGAATGTTGGAGTCCTCTCTTGCCCACACTAATAGCAAAGCTACAGCAGTGTGTTAAGCAAACTTTGGGCAAACCTCTTAAAGAACCATGTGGAGCAGATTTTATTTCACATTTTATTCCTTTCCATTGCAATCTAAATAGAAATAGGATTAAGATCAATATTGTGTTTTGCAATCTTACTGGGTATATGGAGACCATTTGCCTCCTAGTACAAAATAGAAAAATGAAAGCAAGCCTGCTTAGAGGCTGTGGGGGTGGTGGGTGGACTTTATTTATATGTCTAAAGAGCTTCCGAGGTTTGGAGCTGTAGCTGCCAAGGGCTTTTACTCTGGGAGGCAGGCAGGGATGTGTGTCAGCAGCTGTTACAGGTGTCTTACCTGACTGTCCCTAAGTCATTGGGATTATCGTGCCTGAGCCATTCTCATTGGAATTGAGGGGCTTCTTACATTAAAATTCCTCTGAAAGTGTCTCCATAGATTTTTGGGGGGAGAAGAGGAAGGGGAATTCTGCTTGATGCCTGTTGTATTATGGGGCTTAAATGCTTTTTAAATAAGTGAAATATTTGGATTCAGCGATTATTTCTAGAAAAATGTTACCCCAAAACAACCTTTGTTTCTTCTGGTAGCAAGTCTTTGAGAGCCTCAGACATCTGCCATGTCTGAGGGTCTGAGATCGAGTCCCACCTCCCATTCCCTTCCCATCTAGCGTCCTGCCAGTGAGCAACCTGTTAAGCAGCAGATGGTGGTCCAAGGACCTGGGTTCCTGCTGTTCGCATGGTGGAATGAACCAGCGGGTAGGAGGTCTTTGTCTGCCTCTCAGAAATAAATATGAAAATATAAATGGGGCAGACATTGGGCACAGTGGTTCCGCTTGCAGTCCACCTTTCTGCTAATGTGCACCGTGGGTGACAGCAAGTAGCAGGTAGTTGGGTCCAGGGCGACCCACGTAGGGGACCAAGATTGAACTCTGGCTCCTGGCTTCTACTTGGCCCAGTTACAGCTTTCATGGGCATTTGAGGAGTGGGATGAGCAGATGGAAGTCCTCGTCTGTTTCTCTCCCTTTCAAATAAACTAAAAAAAAAAAAAAGTGGGGGAAGCAACATGGTTCCATATCATAGGAAGTATGAGAATTACTGCCCTTAAATGTAAAGCAAAATTCAAGTAAAAGCAAATGAGCAAGCTCATCACCACTTTGGATTCTTAATGGTTTTCTGGAGGTAAGGTAATGTTTAGGTAGAATGGTGTAAACTTGAGTTATCACTATAGAACTGCTTTTACTTTTTCTTAAGGTTTATTTATTTATTTTTTTTAAGATTTCTTTTTGTTTGAAAGTCGGATATATACAGAGAGGAGGAGAGACAGAGAGGAAGATCTTCCATCCAATGATTCACTCCCCAAGTGGCAGCAGCGCTGGTACTGAGCTGATTGGAAGCCAGAAGTCAGAAGATTCTTCCCGGTCTCCCACACGGGTGCAGGGTCCCAAGGCTTTGGGCCTTCTTCAACTGTTTTCCCAGGCCACAAGCAGGGAGCTGGATGGGAAGCAGTGCTGCTGGGATTAGAACTGACACCCATGTGGGATCCCGGTGTGTTCAAGGCAAGGGCTTTAGCCACTGGGCTACACTATCATGCTGGACCCTCTTTGATTTTTCTTAAAGCAGAGTGATAGAGAGATGGAGAGACAGATCTTTTATCTGCTTGTTCACTTGCCAAATGACTTTAATAGCTAGGGCTGTGCCACCCAAAGGCAAGAACCTAGACTTCCCTCACATAGGTGGCAGGTGCTAAAGGACTTGAGCCATCCCTGCTGCCTCCCAGGAAAGGTGCAAGTTAGTGGGGAGCTGGATGGGAAATGGAGGCTGGAAGCTACTCCAGGGAATATGGGATGCAGTTGTCGTCCTAGGCAGCAGCTTAACCTGCTGTAGCACAATGCCCAGCCCAAGAAACACATCTTAAGACAAACAGTTTTTGCAGTTAGATCTTAAGATTCAGGGTCATGGATAGAGAGACCCTCTGTAAATTCCTCTGTAAATTTTCTGCAAAAAGTCCTAAATAATAGTGTGTGCTTGCCTCATGGAACAGTCACAGTTCACAGCTTGGCACCATCCCTGGACCACACTTTGAGAAACAGTTATTTTAGAGTGTGCATGTATTTGTGTACTGACACACACATTGAAATGTGTTAGCATGGTTACAGTGCGATACTACATACATCACTTAACCACTTTCTGTGGGAATTGAATGCCTTTAAAGGAGCTCTTTGGCCAAAGTGAGATTTTTCTGAAAGTGATTTAAATGCTCAAATGGTATGCAAACACAAATAGTGTAATTGTGAACAGCCCTGGGTTTCAAAACCCAATTGTCTGGTAACACTTCTGATACATAAAAGTAGAAAGGATTTTGCAAATTGAATTAACTGCCTCCACTCAGATTCACCCTCAAGTTTAAATGAGCTCAGGTTCTTTGGATAGGAAATACCCTGTGCACAGTGGCTATACAAATGAACTGGTAGCGCTAAGCAGTATGTGTGTCCCGTGTGGTGTCAGATAAGCCAGTTGTTACCGTCATCCTTGCCTCAGCACCTCATTATGGAACCTGTCTTGGGTCCTAGTGATTGACAGCACTTTGTTAGTGTTTATCAAATCAGGGGGAGTGAGTCTTACAAGTACCTCCCCAGTCACCATAAGCATTTGCACATCTCAAATTGATTCTGACATTGAGAGTTGGCAGTTCAGCTGCCTCCTCGGAGACTGCCCTATTGGAAACCAGTCTTTCTGGATGGAATTTGGGTGCACGGATCCATGACCTTGTGTGTCTACTTTGAGAAATACTGCAGCTTGCTTTTAATCCAGCACTGGAAGGAAGTTCTGTAAAGGCCTGTTCTGTCCAGCCTCGCTCCTATAGAATGAGACTCAAAATCCCGGTGAAGAGAAGGTGTAGGAGGAGCTAGTCAGCGTCTTGAAGATCAGGCTTCACTCACAAGGGCCTTCCCGCCGTGCGCAGCAGGGCCTCAGACAGGGGAGATGTGGAGGGATTTACGGAAGGATTAAGTGCGGCATGCTCCATCGACTGGAGCAATTCAGTAGCTATGTGGCATTTAGAAGGAGTACTGGGTAACTGCACAGCAGCTGCCTGTGAAGACACCAGAAAGAGTGGATCACGTTGAGATGAAGATTAACACATGTCTGTGTGTCCCGTGTGTTGTAGAGGGATTAGAACCATCGGACAAAGAGGGGCAACTCCGTTGATGAAGTGGTTAGAAAGGACGGACTGTGAGGTGAAGGCTAATACTTGAGACTGTTGTGTTTAGAACAGTCGGAGTCCATGTGACCTTGGAGACATTCTCTGGAAGGTGACGCCCAGCTGAAGACCAGTGCTCGCTAAGGCCAGAGCGAGAGAGGATGCAGCCTGGGCTGTGAGCAGCAGGTGAGACGAGAAAGGAGATCTTTCTGTGGTTTTCAAGTTCAACCCTCGGGGCAGGCGTTTGTCCTGGTGGTTAAGATTCTGGTTAGCCATGTTCACATCCCACATTGGAGTCCATGGGTTTGACACCCTTGTATGCTCCTGACCCTCACAGCAGGGGTGGTGCCTTAGGTGCTTGGGTCCCGGAGCCCCAGAGGTGGGAGAGTGAGGCTCAGTGCCCAGCCCCAGCCGCTCCACACATTTGTAGATGATACCACCTGTCCTCTCTGTCTCTCCCCTTTTCTGTCTTTCAGACTTGCCTAGCTCCTGCTACGCAGGTGATTCAAATAAATAAATTGTTAAAAATATTCAGTGTATCATGAAATTCTTGAGCTATAAGATATAAAGTCATTATTTTAAATATACAAGTGTATATAGGTATATATTTATGTGTGTGTTTAAACACACAACATACCTGCAGTGACAGTAGGTATTTCATTACAAAATGTCTGTATGACCCAACAGCAGTGTTTATAGTCAGAGCAAATTACTTTAAAAGTTAATCCAGTTGCATTCAGGTGTAACTGTGTGATGAAATGGACCCAACAACACACACTCCTCCCCTCTTGGTTATAGAAGGAAAAATGGTGGCAGCCCGGCCACTGTGGTCATTTGATACCAGCCAGGTGCTTCGCCATGTGTCACCACACAGGCAGGAAAGCTCTGTGCATACTGAGGGAGGAAAGAGCGTGTTCAGAGTACCACAGTTCCCCCCAAACTGCACATGTTCCTCCTTCTCTGACTTGGCTCTCTCAATCTTCTAAGATGTGTTCAAGCTGTAATTTATGACACCTATGTCTGTTTAGGCCATTGCATTGTTAAGTGTTTTTTTAGGGTTTAAAAATAAATCTACGTAGGGGAGGGAAATTGAACTTGCATGATAATGTTGGGCACGTGAACGCCAGCACATGAACTGAGAAAGTCAAAAGCACGGTTTCCATGGCAACTCGTAACTTGTCTGTGTGGTACACATTTTTCAAGAAATACATTCTCCACACTTACCTAGTGATAAAAACTGTTCTCCCGCATACAAAGGTTGATTTCCCGCCATGCCCCCTTGTTCTAAAAAGCCTTCCTCACATCGGTAGCTGGGCTCTGTCCAGGCACTGAAGTCCAAGTCGTCCTGACCTAAACCCACATTGTCTCGGCATGTTCTAGCCTCGGGTCCCTTCGCGGGAGACAGCCGCCTTTGTGTGACTCACGCCCGTTTCCTGCCTTCCTCTCTTGCAGATATATGTTGGGTAAAGGAGGAAAACGTAAGTTTGATGAGCATGAAGATGGGCTGGAAGGCAAAATCGGCTCTCCCTCCGACGGTCCGTCCAAGGTGTCTTACACCTTACAGCGCCAGACTATCTTCAACATTTCCCTTATGAAGCTCTACAGCCAGAGGCCCCTGACGGAGCCCAGCCTGCAAAAGACCGTGCTCATTAACAACATGCTCAGGCGCATCCAGGAGGAACTGAAGCAGGAGGGCAGCCTGCGGCCCGCCTTGGGGCCCGCCGCACCGGCCGCCGCCTCCCCGCCGGGCGACAGCCTGGGCGACGCGCTGGACCCTGCGCACCCCTGCGAGCCCGGAAGCACTACGCCCCTGGAGGCCTGCCTCACGCCCGCCTCGCTGCTCGAGGAGGACGACGACACCTTTTGCACTTCCCCCGGGCCGCCCGCGGCTCCCGCCAGACTCTCCCCTGTAGCCCTCCTCCCGCCAGCGCCGCTGGAGAAGGACAGCTTTTCCTCGGCCTTGGACGAGATCGAGGAGCTCTGTCCCACATCTACCTCCACAGAGGCCGCCGTGGCCGCCGGCTCCACGGGGACCTCCAGCGAGGCCGCCGGCCCGAAAGGCGCCGAGGGTGACTCAAAACTCATGGACTCTCTGCCTGGGAACTTTGAAATCACCACATCCACGGGTTTCCTGACAGACTTGACCCTGGACGACATCCTGTTCGCCGACATTGACACGTCCATGTATGATTTTGACCCCTGCACTTCTGCTGCGGGGACAGCCTCGAAAATGGCCCCCGTGTCAGCAGACGACCTCCTCAAGACCCTGGCTCCTTACAGCAGCCAGCCCGTCACCCCGAGTCAGCCTTTCAAGATGGACCTCACGGAGCTGGACCACATCATGGAGGTGCTGGTGGGGTCCTAAGAGCGGGATGCCCCCCAACCCCCAGGAGCGTTCCTTGCAGCCCTGACTGTTCTCCACACTGTGCATGCACCCTTGCTTGCCTTCTTCAGAAGAAAGGAACGTGTCAGGAGAGGATCACACTAGTTTTTGCTTTGAGCAGAGTTGGAGTGCCTTCATCCCAGTATGACCACTTTTCAATCCACCCGTCCCCAGTGGTTCCTGAGCCCTCCCGTGTGGGGGAGGGGACAGCATTGCTATGTCGAATGGCAGAAATAACAAGTTCAAGGGAAGCACAAGGATTAAGTCGGAAAAGCTGTAAATTGCATGTGCATATTTGTCTATTTTTTCTATAAGTTTTATTGCAAGACGTGAAGATGAAAATATATATATATATAATTTAGATGATCTCGGTCCCTTTTCTGGCATTTTTTGCCCTGTATAGGTTGACTTGGCAATTCAGCCTTTTTAGAGGCATTAACTACTCCTTGTTAAGTGTTGCATTTACATGGCTGTTTAGAAAACTGCTATCCAAATTTATTTTATATTTTTGTACAGATTCTGCAGTTTATGATATTGTTTTTCTAAAAACAAATGCTGTTTATACAATGAGATAGCTATTTTGATAGGATTTGCTCACATAGTTCCTGCAAACTTCAGATGTACAAGTGGCACTTGTACTTTTATAGAGCTGTAACGTTTTCTATATGTGTATGGTGCAAGGGAAAAGTGGATCAAATCAATCTGCAACTGATGTCCCCCAACACAGACACACACACACACACACACACACACACACACACACACACACACACACACAGAGCGCTTTAATGACGGGCCAGGTGACATCACACCCAAAGTTCTGACTTCTCCCTGCCGTGGACACCCGCCAGTACTGTGACTTCCAGAGCCAGAGCGTCATCTGCTCCTCAGACTTGCACGGAGCACTTGGCGGGAGGGGCCGTGGAGCCCGGGCCTGAGGGGATGGTTCCTTCAGCCCCCTCTTCCCAGGGGAAGGCTGCCTGCCCTCTTTTCTTAAGCGTGTCTTTATGCCAAGTTTGTGCTTTTAAATGTTTTTCTTTTTTAATGAAAACCCAAGTCTTTCCTTTTTGGCATAATTTGTATGATGACCTGCGATTTTACATCTGAACAAAATTTTCTGAAAAGCAACCAACCTCTTCATAGGAACTAAGCCCTCTCGCAGTGCTTAGGCCTCTGCCAGAAGATCTCCCTCGAGGGCCTCCGTCCTGTTGCTAGATTGTCTCTTCCAGCTTCCCCTTCCCACCCCGGAGCTTCTGTTCCCTCTGTTGCTAAGAGCCGAGAACTGCTTGTCAGAAGATCACCACCGTGAGCGCCACTGGCCTCAGCCAGCCAGAGGGGACGCACTCCCGGGACACCCATGAGACTCTGAACCTGGAGATCGTCGCCGGACACCATGGCTTCCCCTTGGGTTGCTGTCCGTCTTAACCCAGCTGCTAATGTCACTACACTTTACAAGGCTGTTTGACCCAAATACACAGACAGGACTTTCTATGCATGTCTCCCCTCTGCCGCCTACCGCCGGACACACTTAAGACATAGCTTTTCCTCCCTCACGGTGTGCGTTTAATTTGAAGCCGTTTCCGGTGTATCATGCTTGGTGTCAACGTCATGGCCTTTCCTTTCAGTTGTTTCTGTCTTCCAATGGTACTTCGGCCGTTGAGTGCAGGTTACAACCTATATCGTCATGAGGATGGCTTCTTCTTCTTCTTTAGGAATAACTTTTATATTTATTTAAAAGTGTTTAAATTATGGGATTTTGTTGTTGTTGTTGTTGTCATTGTCCTTGTCGTTGTTCATTTGTCAATATTCAGTCTCCTTTTCTGCTCGCTTCTTGCCATGGATAAAACTAGGTCATTCTGGCCAATTAAAAAAAGACAACTTTACCAAAAAATGGCACTTTAAGCAAGCCATAAACAGTTTTATTTTTATAATGCACATGGCAAAGCAAATTTGTGATGAAGGAACTGTTCATGTAGGCAAGGGCTGCCTGTATGATAGGATTAAATTTTCCTGCATTCTAATGTACTTTTTTTCCACACTTGAATGTGTTTTAAAGGCTAATTATCAACTCAGCAGAGCAGTGAGAAACTGATCAAATTGCACTTGTTCTCCTATAAACAACCTCTGTGCAGACACCTCTTAACTACTATACGGTGTCATTTCCTTTGAGAGAACAGCCTAGCATATAATTAAGATGAAGGTTGTCACTGTGTTTTGTGGAGAACAAGTCTGCCCAGACTCCCTCCACGCTTCCCTAACTGCAGGACCCTGCAGACTGGCCGCATGCTGCCACCCCCCAGTGCCACCTCATCTCCATTCGCAGGCAAGGGTATTGATTATTCTGGACAATAACAGAGTAAAGTAGTTGACTTGCCATTGTTAAAAACTGATTTACAGTAACTTAGAACAACTGTACTTTTGTTGGATTAGTAAATCATGTTTTTAAACGGATCCCGTATGTTGGGCGACAGTTCAGATAAACCCAGGGAGAGGGATTGCCCAAACTTGATTCTCTGACTTTAATGTTTTGGGGAGTCTGGGCTTCAAAATCAACCCCCACCCCCCCCAAACACACACACACTGCCCCCAGCAAGAACAGACAGCTGCTGTGTAACTGACAGCCTTGCCCGAGATCCTTGATATTCACTAGTCTTCAGAAGAAGTGGGCAGTCAGTGGCCCATGTTCACCAAGAGCAAAAGCATCAGGGATTCAAATTCTCCCTGTCCTATCTCCAGGAGGTGGTGGGCATCCCATCAGGGAAGCGGAGGAGCCGGAGTGGAGGTGGCAGGCCCAGTTGGAGTGTGGTGTGTGCTTCTGGATGCCACCTGGCAGCAGTGCCTTTCCCTTTATAGAAGACATCGTGTGGCATCCAGGGCCAGGCAGGCAGCGCGAGGTGCCTTTCTGAGGAAGACACGCTGGCTGGGGCTGGGGGAGGGCAGACAGTGATGTGCAATGAAATGACAAGATGAGAGCAGAATCATAAGAGCTTTGAATTTGAAGTGATTTTAACCCCCGTAAGTTATTTATTCCTTTGTTCTGTGTAAATATATTTATTTTACTGTGGAGCGCTAACAACATCTGGATCATAACATGTGCAGAATGTATGGTAGGAATGTATTCTGTAGGAATGTAAATCTGTATCACCAGGGGGTCCGAACTGGGACTCCTAGGTCTTCTCATCGTGTGCACAGTCCACGTTCACTTTTACTCTCTTCTCTAATATGGGTCTATTTGAAATATGCAAAAGGTATGGATGAGGAATGTTCTAATACCTCCAAAATTTTTTTTAAAAAAATCAAGTATCAAAGGTTTGATATTTTTAAAAGGTCTTTTTAGCCGCACTTTCTCTTGATGACAGAAGAGGCAACCACATGGGCACCCTCATTCATACCAAAGGATGAGGAATGGCCCAGAGCCGCCTGCACGCCTCTCGCGCATGTACCAATTGAGCTTTCAATTAACCATAGCCCCTCAGAGTGCCCCAACTGCCCTGAGGGCAATCAAGGAGAATTTCTTTACTAAATAAGCTCCAAAGAGCCAAAGTATCAACTTACAGGTGGTTTTTAAAACTTAAAGTTATTAACCACCCTTGCGGTAAACAAATGAATTATGAATACCGCAAGGCAGCCTTCTTAACTTAAGTGACATGTTAAAAAGAGAGCAACTCAGCTCTGTGCAGCGATTGTTACTTTACTATGACTTGTCTTAATTCAAAACCTTTCTGTTACAAATTGGACCTTTATGCATTTTTAGAAAAAGTATGTCTGAACCTGTTCTGGCTATTATAAATGGTTAGCGGCCTGTACTGCCCTTCAACAGGACAACTGCAAGGCATACGTGTCCTATTTATGTACATTGTTTTTGATGCTCCTGAGAGTAGGTCTCTATGGTTCTTGAACATTCAGCCAGGATCAATTGCTATTGCAGACAAAGCCACTTATCATTTTGGACTTCTTGGGGATCACAAGTTAGGAAGAGAAGTGCAGTCCATGTGTGCTAATGACCTAGATTTCCAAACAGAACATGTACATAGTGACACATGTGGTGCATGGTTTTTGAGAAGGGTGTTTGTTAAAAAGGAGGTATAACCTTTTCCCCCCCACAGACCTGAGAGCTGTGCCTTTTCTATGCAATATTACAGATGTTACATCGGAACCCAGGTGGCTGTCTTCATGTGTAGGTTTGGGCTGTAATCTAAACAATTGGGCAGATTAAATGTACATGGAAATGAGCAGTCTTACTTTTGTAGTTTTATATTATACAATAAACAGTTAAAAGATAAGAGGTGTGCCCACAGCTTTCTTTGTGCCTCACTGCTTCACTCGGCCTCTGCTGGGTGACTCCCAGGCGCCTCTGCAGCACTCGGTGTTACGGTTCCCAGACCTTGGTCTCCTGGTTCTCCCCATGCTGCCTGCACCTCCTGTTTCTGTCTTCTGTGCCCCAGCTCCCTCGGACTGTTGCTTTTCCAGGGTTTGGCCCATTTCCAGCTCTTCCCCGAGTCTCTGGTCCTGCCTGCTTTCCTGAGATGCTCAAATCTCAGGTTGTACAAAACTCAGTTCCACCCCTGCCTCTCCTGAGCTGCATGCGGACCTCAGCATCTGCCTAGATTAGCCATCTCCTGCTTGACCTTTCTGAGCCTTTCCCCAATGGGGACTTGCCCTTCTTCTATTCCGAAACTTAACTCAGATGCCTACACAGCTCCTGCCGTCCAGCACCAACTACCGTGGTCCCTCTGCCAGCTGCTTTCCATCTTCACTGTTACTTCCCCAACCCGTGCCCTCTGTTCTTCCACCTGTTGCACCTGCGTACTAGCTAATTCCTTCTCATATTCCTGATTCTAAAGGTGACATTCTGAAACACCAGAGGATTGTGTGATTGGTGTGCATGCTCCAGCAGTCACTCCACCCCACCTCTGTGATAACAGTCCAGAGGTCACCTCCGCTGTTTTCAGAGGTTACCAGGGCCGTCTGATGGAGCCAGGGAATTCTAGCCTTGCCTGGCCCAAGCTACCTTAGAATGGGACCCTAGTTTGGAGAGCTCTAGAATCTCGAGTTGCAAGGAGGTTAATAGTTTGGACCCTAAGCTAATACAACAGCCAATGTCCTTAGGTTCTGATGCAAGCAGTCTTTCTCACACAATGGAGAACACCAGACAAAGATAAAGGCAGAGATGCAGACCATGCTTCTATGAGCTAAGGAATGCTAGAGAGAGCCAGTAAACACCAGAAGCCAAGTGAGAGGCAGAGCAAGTTACACCCTACATCCCCTGAAGAACCCAACCTCGCCAACACTTCCACAAGTCCATCTGTGTTTTTGGGTCTGCCCCGACTTGGGGTCCTTTGTTCAGGCAGATGAGCCAACATGCAGGGCACAGCAGGAAGTTTCTTGAGAAGTGACTGATAACTAGAAAGCAGTCTGGTTGAATGACTTGTATCTAGAACTCAGAGCCTCTGCTCTTGATTCAACAGTGACCTCAGTCAATCTTGATGAGAGCAAGATGAAGACACAGCTCCTAAAGCACTTTGAAAATATTGACAGTACAATAAAAATGCAAGTTATGAATGTCTCATCCTCTGCTTGGAAGTGTGCCCAACGCGCTGTGGGCATTCAAGACATTTGTTGAATTAAAAGAAGAATAAGACCTCATGGGTCATCCTCCATGGAATGAGAGAAGTGTAGCACTCAGCATCTTCTGGATCTGCCATTCCCAGCACCCTGCATCAGCACCACACCAGCACCTGCCTGTGTGCACCATAGCTTGTGCTTCCCCCTCTCTGCTGAGAGGCTACTCACCATTGCAAGGCCAAAGTCAATGTCTGTCCATCACCCCAGTCAAAGCCAACCTCTGTCTCACAGGCTGCCACAGGATTCATGCCTCAGCAAGGCCTGCTATGTCCAGGTTAACAGTAACGGTGCATTGCTACTCTGAGCTTTCATAGCAGCAGTCCCCTGGGGGTCGTCATCCTGCCCACCGCCCTCCTTATAAGTGAAATATTATCAGGATATGCTCATGCTGGTGTGCTGTGACAATAGAGCTGAGGAGTTGCATTTGAAACCATGTGGCACTCAAAGTTCTAAATATTAGCCATTTGCCTCTTTGCAAATGAAGTTGTCCAGGACTAGTGTTGTGGTGCAGTGAGCTCAGCTGCTACCTGCAATGCCAGTGTCCCATATCAGAGAACCACAGCAGTCCAGCTTCCTTCTAATTGATGCCCCTGAGAAAGCAGTGGAAGACAGCCCAAGTGCTTGGGCCCCGTACCCACATGGAAGACTCATAAAAATTGTGGGCTCCTCATTTCTTTCTGGTCCAGCCCAGCCATTGCAGCCACTGGGGGAGTGAACCAACAGATAGGTTTGTGTGTGCGCGTGTGTGTGTCGTGTGGCTTTGCCTTTCAAATAAGTAAATTTAAAAAGAGAAAAGGAAGTTTGCCTCACCTGGATATTTACACCACTCTGAGTACTTACGACAGTGTCTAACTATGGTTAGGTCAGGCTCAGGGCTTGCTTAAACAGGGAGCACACTCTTTCCCACCCCATCCTCCAAAAGGAGATATGGTGCAGGTGCCCAAAGAATCTTGAGGGCTGGAGATGGGGTGCCAGGGCCAGAGCAGGCACAGTGGTGAACTCATACCAGGGCAGGCATTCTCAGAATTCTGCTAGGGATGGATCATCTGGCCTAAGGGACCTGTTGCACAGATGTGAACATGAGATCCAGGGAGGGAAGGGGATTATTACTTCCAGCAAAACCTCCCTTATGGCATGGTGTTCAGAGTGGCTGGCCTGAGCTCAGATCTTGGCTGCAACCTAGAGCTCCTAGAGCTAGTGCTGTGGCGTTGCAGACTAAGCCAATGCTTGTGATGCCAGCATCCTATAACAACGCGAGCTCCCGGCTCCTGATTTCTGCCTGGCACAGTGTCAGCTGTTGTCATCATTTTAAGGAGTGTCATCATTTTCCAGCAGGTGGAAAAATCCCTGCCTCTCTGTCACTGCCTTTCAAATAGCCTAAGTAAATGTACGGTTCGTGACTTTGGGCAGCTCGCTGCACCCCTCTGTGCCTCAGCTTTCTCAACCATTAAACAGGTGAAATTGAGCCATCTCATAGAACAGTGGTGATTAGACGAGACAGTAGATATAAACAAATAACATTAAAAAATGCACACATGAGGCAGGGGTGTTAAAGCACTGCAGTGGGTTGCCACCACTTGGAACACCCACAGCCAGTATCATAGTTCTTGAGTTTGAGTCCCAGCTCTGCAACTTTAGTCCAGCTCCCTTGCTCATGCTGTGTAGGTAGGAGGCAGCAGATGATGGCTTAAGTGCTTGGGTCCTTGCCACCCACAGAGGAGACCTGGATGGAGTTTCTTGCTCCTGGCTTTAACCTGGCCAACCTTGGATGTTGTGAGCAACTGGGGAAATAGCATGGGGAAGATTTCTCTTTCTCTCTGCCTTTCAAGCAGATGAAAAAAAGAACAAGTCCACAGGGGTTGTCAATAGCTAACATAAGAGTGACCATGGCCAAGATCGGGCTTCCGTTCTCAGGGTGATGGCGCAGGCCTCTGAAGGCGTGTCTGGAGAGAGACCCCCAGTTTCCTAGTTCCACACTTGGGTCCACACTTGGGTCAGTTACTCACAGAGAACACGCTACGGGCTTGGGCAGCAATCTGGGGTTCTCCATCCCTGTGGCCTTTTCCCTTTTGGCTTCTAAAGTGCCTTTCTTCTTCCAGGGGAAGGAGCCTGTGACTGAATCTAGAGGCGTATTCCCCAGGGTTACCGCTTGTGAGCACTCTGGCGCGCCAGTCAGCGCCAAGTGCTGGCGTGCCGTGTGCTGTGGCTTCTTCCCCTGGCACTGGAGGGAAGCAGGACAGACATGCCGGCTGGCTGCCCCGGGGCGGCAGCCCTCCTCAGCAACATTAGACCCGTGGTGACAGGGGCAGGGTGCTTTGCCAGCATCTCTGCCATGTGGTGCGGGTTGCTTGGGTGGAAAGAGAGCCACTGCCCGTCAGGTGCCAGGCCACGTGCAGCCCGGGAGGCACAGACGCCCGATTGTCCCTGGGGCTGGGAACCCCCTCTGTGGCAGGCCGGCTGACCCAGCCTCACAGCCTGCTGGGCTGCCTCCCTCCTTCCACACCTCCTCTCTCCTCCCCTCCCTCCCCTAGGCTGGGCAGCCAAAGCTGCCAGCTGCCAGCAAGGCCTATTGTTCAGCAGTGACAAGAAATGGCTGCGGGAACAGAGGCCTGGAGGAAGGCTGGGGGCGGGGAGGAGGTGGGGGTGGGGAAGCACTTCCCCGCCCTGGCCTCCTGGGGAGGGGTGGGAGCTGCCATCCTCCCCATTCCTCCTTCCTTTGCCGTTGTACCCAGACCAGCAGTCTTCAGCCCTGCCTGTCCCCTCCCCTCTGCATCTTCCTCTCAGGAGGAGACTGAGCCAAGTGGTGGGTCAGCTTCGGGAGGCAAGCCAGAGGATTTATGGTCGCTTGTCTCCCAGCTGAGTGCCTGAAAACAGCGCCAGGTGGCCGTGCTTTGAAATGGTGTCCCCTCAAGTCCATCCCAGACAAGCTCTTGCCTTCGGGGTCCTTCCTCCCGCCGCTGGAGAGGTGCCAGGGATGACGGTGATCGCCCCTGACGGCTTGTAGAGCTTAATGGCGTGTGAAGAATTTCCCATGCACTCGCTTAGTTGATTTCTGGGCGGGGCGGCCCAGGGGAGCTGGGGTCCGACAAGGGACACCTGTCCCCTAACTCTGGTCGCTCCCTTGTTACCTTCTGAAGTGAACTTCAGACCTTTAAAGAAGGAGCTAGAAACTCAGGACCCACAACTCTGTGCAGACGGAAATCCCATGTTCTCAGGGACTCGGTGAGAGCTGAAGCCACTTCAGACCCAGGTTCTGTTGTGTCTGTCCCTGGGACCGCCGTCCCCAAACACACACCACAACACACAGCATACACTTACCATGCATGTACACACATGTCACATACACACATGCATGTGATGCATGCACACAAAACATACCAGGCACAAGCACACACATACCACACACCACTCACTACATACACATACACCACACACACACCACACACACATACCATGCACTTTCCATAGCTGAGGGAGGCATAGTCACACAAACCGCATACATGCACAACGAACACACACACGGACGTACCACACACTTGCCATGGTTGAAGAAGGCAGAGGGGCCCAGCCTAGGAGCTGCCACTGTTGTCCCCATAGAGCCTCTCAGACGCTCAACCCAAGAGAAAGCCAGGCACTCACCCTATTTACCCAGCTTGGAGACAAATCCGGGTCCCCTCTAACTGGACGCCTGCCGCTGGTAGCTGGACGCCAGGCTACCAGTGCTGGAATCCGGCAGCTGCAGTGCTGGCCCCTCTCCCTGGTCTGTCTGCCGTCACAGAGCTGCCATCTGACTCACTGCACAGCCCCCTGTGGTTTTTCACTTGCTTTTGGGAACTGGGGGAGGAGTGCTGAGCTGCCCCAGAACACAGGGCCATGGAGGTCTGGCGCCCTCTGGATCACGGCGACAGGCCGCGGGCCGGGTCATGCGGGATGGAGATTTTCTGTGTTCCAGATTGGCCTCTGCAGCTCAGACTGGGCTGCCAGTGGGCAGAGTTTCTCGGCAGAGGCAGCTTGGGCTGGCGCGTTGAGGGCCTGGGAG